CTGCCTACCTGGCTTTCAAGCTGTTCTTCAGACTTCCTGGAAGGCATGACCATGTCTCTGTGAACTGCCTGCAAGTCTGAGTGCCAACTTGACAAGGCAGAGTATCCCATTTCTGCAAAGCACACACAGGGCAGAGTGAAACACCATGGGGACAGCCCATCCCATGGCAGCCATCAGGATCCGTATTTTGGCCAATAAAGAAAACTCCTATTTTTGAATACATATAATTTTATTACTTAAAAAAGATTACATAGATGTTTTGTCTGTATGTCTGTCTGAACACCAGAAGAAGGAACTGGATCTCAAGTACGGTTATAGACAGTTGTGAACTGCCATGTGGGTGCTGGGAATTGAACCCTGAACCTCTGGAAGAGCAACCAGTGCTCTTAACCACTGAGCCATCTCTCCAGCACCATAATTTCATTACTTATTAAAGAATAAAAAATTGTATAATTTTGTCATTTTAATATAAAGATTAAACTTTGGCTAAGCATTTGTTACCAGAGATCATACAATATCTTCATTCTTTTTTTATTTTAAGTGCATTGGTGTTCTGCCATGGGTGTCAGGTCCCCCCGGAACTGGAATTACAGGCAGTTGTGAGCCACCATGTGGTTGCTGGGAATTGAACCTGGGTCCTCTGGAAGAGTAGTCAGTGCTCTTAACCACAGAGCCATCTCTCCAGCCCCCAGCATCTTCTTACTTTAAATGTAAATCATTTTCCACTCCCATTCCCTGTGGCCTCCATCCTTCCCCTGGTGTACACCCCTCCCCCCCTCCCGTTCTGCTAACACATCACACGTGTTTGCTCACCAACCCCACCACCATGTCTTTGAAACTACTATTAAAACTACCAAAACAAAAGATTAAAAAAAAGAGAAGTTCATAGATTCTATTGCTCAAAATCATGTGAAAGAGACCGAGGCACACTGACCGGACATGGCCAATAAGCTTTTAACAGAAATTTATAATGAAGTGAGTTTCCTTTTCAGACTTGCTTATCTTAGAGTCAGACTTCCTTGGTTTCATTTCCCAATCTGTGGTGTGCCAGCTGTGTCTTTTTCTGTAGCTTCCTTACCTTTCTGTGCTCAGTGCTTTCATGTGTTAATAGGAACTAGTAACCATCCCTACTTCAAAAGAGCCCTGGGAGAATTAAACAGGCTAGTACTTAGGCTAGTACCAGTTCATGGTGAGTGCTGTGTTAAGTGCTAACCACAATTACTGCCATTTACATGTTTGTTTTTGTTTTTTGTAATTCACCAGGTTTTAATTAAAAGTAATTTTAAATTGAAACACATATTTTACATATTTACAGACACCTTGTAATATTTTAATATGTATAACTGCATGATGTCCAAATCAGGGTCTGCATATCCATTAGGTAATTTTTGGTGATGAAAACATTCACAGTCTTTCTTCTTACTCTGTTGAAATACACAGTATATTACCAATATCTTTACCTGCCCTACTGTGAAACAGGACATAATAAATATATCTCACTTTATAAGAGCACACTTTTCCCTGAATAACCAACACCCACTCTCTGGCTAGCTAATCACCCTTCAGTTCTCAGTTCCATTTAGAGAAATTTCAAAACAATTGAATGGATGGAGCTACCAAATACAAATGTTAGTACTTCCAGGTGATGGAATGCCACATATTCATCAGTACTGTAATGACTAAGTCTTTAATAACTCTGGTAAATATTAACTAGCAATGTGAAGACATGCCTATGTGAGAAAGAATATTAGTACTAACAGCTAAATACATAATAATAGAGAATTTTAAGTCTTAAGTCTTAAATCTTAAGAATTTGAAGATTCATGTCTTCCTATAATTTCTAAAATTTTTTACAGCCACCACACATACTTTTGGTAAAAGAAAGACAACCTAATATAATTTTCTTTTAAAAATTCACACTTCACATTTTTATCTTTTATCTTTTGTTTGACAAATTGACACATGCATACATGGATCCTATCCATCTCTCATCCCCCTACCCCTGTGATGATCCCTCAACACGCTCCCTCCCAACCCTGTCATAGCTCTCTCCTCTTTCCCTCCCATCTCTTTCTTTCTCCCCTTCTTCCCCAGTTCTCTCTCCTCTCTTCCACTACCTCCTTTCCCTCTCTCTGGTAACCCACTAAGTCTATTAGTGTGTCTACCTGCTGACATTTTGACTGCTTTGTTGGCTTGACCTTAACCAGATCTTGTGGAGGTAGGCATAATTGCAGTGAACTCATGAGTACAACAGCCAAAACAGTGTTCCACTGTTCCCTCCCCACCCCACACACACTCTGGCTCTTATACTCTTGCTGTTCCTCTTCTGAGGCCTCACATTTTTGGAAGCCTCTCTCAACACTTTGTAGCCACCATTTAAAAGAGGAACCTCCAACACTGACACAGCGCCTGTCACATAGTAGGTGCTCAGTAAAGTTTTACAGAGCCTCCAACACTGACACAGCACCTGCCACATAGTAGGCACTTAACAAAGCTTTACAGGGCCTCCAACATTGACACAGTGCCTGTCACACAGTAGGTGCTCAGTAAAGCTTTATCGGATTGTTGTCTTGTCTCAGGTAAATGGGAAGAGAGCAGAAAAACACGTTCAAGCATCAAAGGGAGAGGCTTCCTAAGAAATGTTCAAAGTTTCCTGAATCCACCAAATACTGGTGAGATTGGTTGCTTCTCTCAGGAACTTAACACCCTCTGAAGTCATTGCTCTCTACCCCAGACAGCCAAGGAACAGGCTGTGGCTGGTGACTAAGGCCTGGTGACCAGGCTTTGGTAGTCACTGATGAGCTGCTTCAGCTGATGCCCTCTGCTACAGATGCCATTCCAAAACTGCACTCTGCATAACCATCTCGTCTCTTCCATCCACAATTCAATGTCCGCTCCTGTTTCCCCAAAGTGACTTAGATACCACAGTGACAAAATCGCTTCTTGATTTATTGTCCTTAAAAATGGTTTGTGTCCCAGCTCACCGTGGCTCTCTCATCTCAGCATTTGTCCACTAGGAGCACCTTAGTTCCAAGCATGCTCCCACTCTTGGCCCCCACTGATCAGTGTCTCCCTAACAGTCCTAACCCTCACACTGTCCGGAGGAAAATCTAGGCTATCCACATGAACATATCCTCTGTTTCTTCCATGGATCTTTAATCTCCCCCAAGAGTCTACTGCCCTCTGGTACTCTGCAGATACTCATAACACTCAAGTTCCAACTTCCCAAGAGTGAACAACTGCTGGAAGAAGGACCAGCTTGGAGTCAGACTGCTGTCGGGCTGTGCCTACACTACTGGTTTAAGAGAGTCCTCAGCATGCCCCAATTTTTCTGTCTGTAACATGAAGGAAATGTGATATAGTCTGAGACTCACTCCAATTCTAACCTTCTAGAACAGTCTTCACCCTCTCTGAGGATGCTCCACTTCACAGATCATCTATTCACATCTGCCATCCTCCCATGCCCCAGAGCAGGTGGCTCCACAGTCCCCCAGTCAAATGGAGATGAACACCTTGGCTGATGTAGGCAGAGGCTCCTCCTTAACACAGCAAGTTTCAACTTTGCTCAGAATTCTCTACCTACACATGAGGGACAGCCTTCATCCTCAGACTCCCTGATGCCCTGTTACTACCTCTCCAGTGTCACCTTATTCCACCTCATGGGACAGTTGTTTCTATCATTGCCCATGCATCAGTAGGTTAAGATCTCCTCGAGGGAACGATGAGGCTTTATTGCACCGTCTCTGTCCTGACAAACAGCAGATGAGTAGGAAGTCGGCTGAATTGAAATGTCATGATAAATGAAGTCCATGGGGACCAAGAGCCCAAGACACAAGCCTTTGATGTGTTGAAGCTGCATCAACCCTGAAAGGCCACAAGAAAGACTAGCTTCTGTGCTTTCAGTGAACACAGAACACAAGACCTGGGGAGCTTGGTGACTAGGCTGAGGACAGAGAGAGAGCAGCAGAGATGGAGGAATGTAGTCTGGGCTTTGGGAGAAGAGTAGCATTGAGTGAAATGACCATGAAGTGCCCCAGGATGCTGTTCCACCCCTCCCTCCTGGCCCCTCGGAAGCACCAAGGGGGTCTGGCTCCATCTTCACTCCTTTATCTTCTGTCTCTGAGAAGATCATGCTGCAGTGTGAGGTCTGGGGCTAGCAAGTGAGTTGGGGTGATTGAGCTAAAGGTAAGCGAGACACATCATCCAGTTTCCCTCATTTACCTTACTTTAAGTCTGACTGTGTCCCCAGGCTTGGTAGACTGAATCTCCTACACAGGTCCCTGAAGGCTAGGAACATGAGTCATTTTTTAGGGACTGGCTAGAAAACACCCATATGCTTAGGCTGGGTACACATTCTGTCTGCAGGATATTCTCATCATTAGTTATCAATCATTATGTGTGTACCTAAACAGTCTCTGTCTGGGTCTTCCAAACTTGGTTTCTTTTTCTACCTCTCTTATCATGCCTCTCTCTCTCTCTCTCTCTCTCTCTCTCTCTCTCTCTCTCTCTCTCTCTCTCTCTCTCTCTCCCTCCCTCCCTCCCTCCCTCCCTCCCTCCCTCCCTCCCTCCCCCTGTCCCTGATATTTTTGTGTGTGGAAGAATCTGGCGTGGTCAGTGTCTTCTGTCTGTGGTCACACCCCACGTTTGTTCTAGAGATTCCAGACAACCTGGAAAGACGGATGTGAAGGCCCCACTGTCTGAAGGTGCCCACCACCAAGTACAGTGCGTGCCTATCCACAAGCCCTTGCTAGCAGGTGTGAACGCTGCATCCTCCCTCTCAGGTTCTCTCTGACACACCCACCCACCTCGGTCACCATCTTTGGCGTACCACTTCCCCTCAGCGCGCCCCGGACTTCTCCGCTCCAACTCCCTCCTCTTTTCCCGTGATGTCACTGTTGGGGGAAGACAATCTGTGAGGAACTCCTCACTTTCGGTCAACTTCAGTTTCCTTCTTGATGCCATGACATCAGCCTTACTCAGGAAATTCCGTTTTCCTCCCTGCACCCTCGCCTCTGTCTCAGGCCTCAGAGTCCCTATAAAGAGGGGTTCCCAGCTCAGATCAGCACAACACTTAGCCAGCTTCTAAAGCTTCTGGGCTCTGCACTCTCAGCTCTGTATAAACTTCCCCGGCCCCAGCAGCACCATGAAGCTCTGCGTGTCTACCCTCTCTCTCCTCCTGTTCGTGGCTGCCTTCTGTGACCCAGCGCTCTCAGCACCAAGTAAGTAGGGTCTTCCTTTGCTGCTTTGAGACTCAGTGGGTTCAGTTTCCCAGCTTGGGCCAGCCCAACAGTGGGGGTTAGGCAGGAGGCAAAAAGGGAGCTGGGAAGATTCCTGAGTCTGCTATTAAACATAGAGACTATCAAGCATCCATTGATATGTAATAGAGGAAAATGGTGGACTGGAAGCCAGGTGATGAATTAGCTTTCTCTCTGGTTTAAGCTTGCCTGTCTCTGCCTTGATTTCCCCACCTGTAACATGAAGGAATTGAGACTCACTCCAGTTTCAATCTTCTAGAATTTTTTCCCCTTCTTCGAGGACCGTCTTTTTAGAGTAAAAGTCTCACTCTGGGTGGATGGCCATGCGTTCAAGGGACCATGTTTTTTGTTCTAGTAGTCCATAGGGCTTCTCAGTGAATAGCGCCAGTCACAGGTTTGACCTTACCCTCCCTTTTTCTTCCAGTGGGCTCTGATCCTCCCACTTCTTGCTGCTTTACTTACACCTCTTGGAAGATTCCTCGAATGTTTGTGACAGATTACTATGAGACCAGCAGCCTTTGCTCCAAGCCAGCTGTGGTGTAAGTATACAATGGGGTGAGGGCCAGGGGCACTAACAGAAGAGGTCCGGTTCTAAGGGTCCAAGCTAGGTCAAAGAACAGTGAGGTGAGCACCCACATGCATAACTTCATGAAAACTAACTGTAAACACACTCGCTGAGCACCTACATGTATAACTTCATGAAAACTATCTATACAACACTTGGTGAGCACCCACATGCATAACTTCATGAATACCTACTATACAACACTTGGTGATCATCTACATGCATGACTTATAAAACCTAACTATACAAACACACTTCATGAGGTCACTTTTTGTATTTTGATGGTCATTAAAATGGGGGAGGCAATAATGGAGGATGATATCCAGAGGCTATGAAACCAGAAACAGTCAAAATGCTGCATATTATACATAGAAAGACCATTTCAAGGAGCAATGAAAAAATTGAAGACATATGTCATATTGATCATAAACCCCATCATTTGCTAATATAGGGAACCCCTAGGGTCACAGCTACACATCTAGGGGTCAGAGTTACAGAAAATCTAGTGCCAGAGTTTTCCGTGAAGGATCCCATCTACCATGGTTACCCAATGCTCAAGCAGAGTGAGATACCTACCATAGCCAAAAGACAGTGGTAGATGTCCTCCAAGGTCCTGTGGGATTCTCATCTGTCCTATCCTTCTTCTACAGATTCCTGACCAGAAAAGGCAAGCAAATCTGTGCTGACCCCAACGAGCCCTGGGTCAATGAGTACGTGAATGACTTGGAGTTGAACTGAGCTGCAGGAGGAGCCTTAAGGGAGGGCCCCCTGAGCCCTGACACTTCTCATTGAGAAGTGCCTTGCTCCTTCCATTCGGAATTCCTGTCCCACTTCTTAATTTAAACCTTTATATTGACACAGTTATTTTTTAGGTGTTATTTCTATTATTTATATTTGGTTGAAGGACATGTGTCTCCCATGGGGATGGTCCACCATTACAGTTTCTCTGCTATTGTGGATATGATCATGTAATCGATTTCATGCGTTTTCATAATAAACTTTCTTTAAAATATAGCTTGTGGTTTTTAAATAGATTTTCATTTGGATTGAAACTGCCTGGTGCTATTGGGGATAAACTACAATTTGCAAAAGGAGTGAGAATGAGTGAATACTGAGTCCTTAACATATCCATTTGGCTACATGAACTCAATATATTCTCTCAATGCTTCTAATGGGAATGTTAACACCTGTATGAGGGTGGGGACTGATGCCTACAGTTTTACAAATTAAGACAGAGATGGGATTTTCTGAGGCTTGTAGATTTTCTTGGGAAGCACCATGAAAGAATGATCCAGAATGACAATGTTGATCCAAAGGGGTATTAGATTGTCTTTCTAGGTGGAAACTGTGACTGGGACAACAACACAATACAGAGGGAAGGGGGTATGGTTCAATCAGAAAGGGGACTTCATCATCTTATCACTGTGACGTTAGAAAAGTCACTTTACCTTACTAGAGTTCAGATTTTCTGGCCTGTAAAATGGGGTGATAGAGCTCACTGTGTTGGAATGCATAAAGCACCCCCGAAGGTTTATCTCCTTCTCTGAACCCCAGCATGTGCCCTTGTGGGAAACAAGGATTTCTGAAGTTCATGTGAGCTCATGGGTCAGCAATCTAAACCATAAAACAATGGGATAATGGGTGCCCCAGTGTCTGGTTCAGTTGTAAAATATTGTGGATCTAAGCCATGACTACTTACTTCTCAGCCATAACTGACTTTACCTAGGACAGAGAGAAAAGTAGAATTAAATAAACAGTAGCTCTGATCAATGGTTTATATACTGGCAGCATGTCGAAGCTGGGAAGATAACCCTTAGGCCATCCAGCCTAACTCTCATCTTGTGGAAACTGAGGTTAAAGGCTGATAGATAACTTTCCAAAGGCCACTCAGTGTGTGGCAGAGTGGCACTGCAGCTGATGTCAACCCCAGGTCAGTACCCTGTGCTGGGTGTCTTCCTAGTGACACACTTCTGTGGTCCCCAAAAGGATGAACCCCCTGAGTAATACAGACAAGGAGAAGGTGACCCTGAAAGCCATTTCAGCATTGCCTTCTGTGTGGACCCTCTTCTCTGAACCAAGAAGCACAGTTGCCTTCCTTGTCCAGCCCTCAGTGGTGGACCCTCTTCTCTGAACCAAGAAGCACAGTTGCCTTCCTTGTCCAGCCCTCAGTGCTCCTAGCATCAGGGCTACTCCATAGAGCAGGTCTGAGAGGTTGGTGGCTAAGAACTGTCCGTGTCTGGTTTCCTTTGTCTAGATTTGAGCTATCCAATATGTTAGCCACTGGCCAGAGTGCCTACTTAAATTTCAATGAAATTGAATTCAGCCTCTTTGTCACACAATTCACAAGTGCTGATGGTGACCGTGTTAGGAAGTACTAGTGTAGAGCCCGACCAAAACCCGCCTGTCATCACAGAAAGCTCCATTGCATGGCACCTTCCTAGCAACCCTGGTCTATTGTAAAGTGATGGTCAGGGAAGCCCGGCTATCTAGAAAGTTATAGTGTGGATTCAGAGATGCACAGCTCCATTCTGAATGGACGGGGCAGGAGAAAGAACGGATGGCCCTCAGAACTGAGACAAGGTTCAGATCACTGTAGAAGACTGAACAATGGCTCCCCGATATGACCACATCCTAAGCCCCAGAACCTGTCATTGTTACCACACATGGAAAACGGGATTCTGCAGATAGGGTTAAGTTAAGGATCCTAGGGTGAAGACCCAGTGAGCCCCCCCAATGGAGCATGCACCCTGATGGGGGCAGAAGGAAATTGGAAGGCAGGAGAGTAGAGAACAATGTGACGACTGAAGAAAATGCCATGCTGCTGCTTCTGAAGGGCAATGGAGGCCATGGGCCAATGGTTGGAGTGATGACTCCGAGGTGAAGAGGATTTGCTGCTCTTGTAGGGGACCTGGATTTTATTCCCAGCACCCACATGACAGCTCATGGTCATCTGTTTTCAGGGAATCCAATGCCTTCTTCTCTTCAGGGCTCCACAGGTAGCAGGCACCATATATGGTGCATATACATACATGCAAGCAAACACAGAATGTTTATTTTTAATCTTAAAAATAATGAGGCTCGCCGGGCGTTGGTGGAGCATGCCTTTAATCCCAGCACTCGGGAGGCAGAGGCAGGCGGATCTCTGTAAATTTGAGACCAGCCTGGACTACCAAGCGAGTTCCAGGACAGCCTCCAAAGACATAGAGAAACCCTGTCTCGAAAAAACCAAAAAAAAAAAAATAATGAGGCTCTAGAAGCTGAAAAGGGTAAGGAAATGGTTTCTCCCCCAAGCTGGTGAAACCAATTTTGGACTACTGATCCCTGTCTCCAAAATTTAAGGAATTAAATGTGTTTTGTTTTAAGACACCATGATTTGTTATAGCAGTAATAGGAAACTGGTACGACTGACACCTCAAGAACCACTCACTGACAGGTGCAGAAGAGAATGGAACATTCTAGAAAGTAAGCCAAACATCCCTAAAGGGTAAGGTGAGGCGGACATACTCCAAAGAAGTGGACTACAGTGAGACAAGGCTGTCTGTTTCAACAGTTAAAGATGAGAGTTGAGTATTCCCCGAAGGTACCCGGCCCTCAAAGAGAACATCTCTTGAGATTCCTGTGGCATGCTGGGAATCTTGAATTCTTATCTGGAAAAGAATCCGCCTTCTCATTTGTCAGCTGAGGCCTAGAGTAGAGGCAAGGCCTATTTGTTTTTGCATTATTGCTGAGAGAGCCGGGTTGGGATCAGAATCAGGATCTCCTCCTTCTTAATTAGTTCTTGTCGACATATGGCCCTACCCTGGGCAAACAGGGAGGGAGGAGGTCAGCTCTACCAAGGCGGGATTGCAAAAATTCGGGGACAGTTCTGTGAAGAAAGGTTTCACCAGGAACAAAGGACAGCCTGTGGGGCAATGTGGGACTCCACCTGTTGCATCATGTAAAACTAGGTCTCTCCCTTCTCCTCTTGGCGAGTGACCTCGTTTTTTTTAGCCTACTATGAGATATTTTATCTGCTTGCATGGCTTTTCGTATGGACTTTCTCCAGGTTTCTGGGTGTGTAGCAGAGCAAGCGAAGAGACCCGTGGCTTCTGGAGCAACGTCTATGTGCTAGCCTGTGCTGTTCCCCTCCCTTAAGTCTTCCTCCCACATCCTCTTTCCAATAAGCTTGGGGTGCAGGTGTTCCTATGATATGGTATGGAATTCTCTGGGTATACGGCCAGCATCAAAATAGCTTGGTCACATAGTAGTTCTTTTTTTTTTTCTTTTTTAAGATCTCAAACCAATTTCTACAATACCTGTACTAATTTACAACACACACACACACACACACACACACACACACACACACACACACACACACACACACACACTAAAACTTTGTGTTTTTAGATCCAGGAGTTTTCCAGACTTAGTAATCTGCAAATAGAGACATTTTGAGTTCTTCTCTTCCTATCGTCGTCTCTTTTAAGTGTTTTTCTAATTGCTATAGCTGAGACTTAAGAGATATATTGAATAATAGAGAGGAGAATTGGCATCCTTGTCTTGCTCTTGGTTTAAGAGGAAATGCTCTCAGTCTGTCACCCCTTAATATAATGTCAGCTAGAGTTTTGTCGTGTATAGCCCTACTCTTCTGAGGTGTGTTTAATTTATTCCTAAAGTCTCTGGAATTTTTATCATGAAGTCATGTTAAACTTTGCTAAATGCCTTTTCAGATCAATTGAAATAATTATGTACTTTACTATGTTCATGAGAGAAATTGGTTTGTAATTTTTTGATAGTCTTTACCTGATTTGGGTATCAGGATAATCTGGTTTTGTAGAATAAGTTTGGTGGTATTCCTTCATTTACAACTAGTGGTAAAATTAAGAAGAATTATATGAGACCTTCTGTGAAAGTTGGCTAGAATTCAGCAGTGAATGTCTGACCCTATGGCCTTTCTTTGAATGGAGACTTTAATAACAGCTTCAATTTCATTTCTTATAATGGGTCTTTTGAGTTACTTATTTCTTCAGGGCTTAATTTTGGTATATGATATGTATTGAGAAATTTTCTACTTTGGTCACTAGGACTAGACAGGAGGAGACCCACATGCTTGCCTGGGGCAGCTTGCCCTGGGCAGGTACTAACCACCCACCCGCCCCGCCGCCCATCACCTTGTGGCACCAGACAGTTGAGCACCATTGTGTGACAATACTTTATGACTTGGACATTGTGATGTGAAAACACATCATAATATACTATGGAAGAGGTGTAAATCTCTTGAAGGACCTTCCCTAGAATTTTTTGTAATTATTTGTAAGGATTCCCTCTACTGATGTGCCATAATGTTCACTAAATAAAAGTATACATATACAAATAAACTAGTTTCATCTGTGGGATGAAAAAAGGAAATTCTTCTAGCTCTTCTGAGCTGTCCAGCTTTTCAGAATATAAGTTTTCATAGTGGTTTCTAATAATATTCAGAAGTCCTTAGAGTCAGTTGCAATGACTCCCCTTTGATATCTACTTTTACTAATTTGTATCTTCTCCCTTTTTCTTTTTGTCAGATTAGCTAAGGGCTTGTCAATCTTATTAACCTTTTCAAAGGACCAACTCTTTATTTAATTGGTGTTGAGTATGATGTAGTGTTCTTTTAATCTCTGTTTCATTAATTTCGCCATTAATCTTTATTATTTCTTGCTGTCTTCTGTGGTTGGACTGACTTGTTTTTCAGGAGTCCTTGGATGTATCATTAGGTTATTTATTTGATATCTCTTAGATTTTTAAACACAGGCACTTCCTATTTTAATCTTTCCTCTTAACACTACCTTAGATGCATCCCAGAGGTTCCAATTGAATATGTTTTCATCTTCATTTGTCTCTAGGATTTTTTAAAATTTCTTCTCCGATGTCTTGGATAAAACACTGTTCAAAAATGTATTGTTTAGTTTGTAGCTTCTCTTATTGTTGATTTTTAGTTTTATTGCATTATGATCTAATCAGAGGCAAAGATTTACCTCAGCTTTTTGTATTTG